GTTAATTTGTTCACATTCGCTTGTAAATGTCCAAACTCACCAAAAATGACATTCGGTAGCTCCTACCTATGTATAACTTTATGAGCTGGATTGACATTCATTTATTTTCATTTGCACTCGTTAGCATATTTAGCTAGCAGCCTAATTCGCTATTACTTGTTTTGTTAGCATTCTTGTAATAGACTCCCAATGTTGTTGTTTTTTCATTTTTGGGCGCCCACTTGTGTATTAAACTGGTAATACCGTAAATCCTGAGGTGAGAGAAGGACGGTATGATAATATCAAAATCTGGATACCCCCCACCATAATTGGTAGATGGGTAAAACTTAAAAAAGCAGACATTGAATATCCCTTTGACTATGGTGACGTTATTAATTACACTTTGGATTGGTGTATCAATACACCCAGTCACTGCAAAGATACATGCGTCCTTCCTAACTCAGTTGCCGGAGAGGAAGGAAACCGCTCAGGGATTTCACCATGAGGCCAATGGTGACTTTAAAACAGTTACAGAGTTTAATGGCTTTGATAGGAGATAACTGAGGATGGATCAACAACATTGTAGTTACTCTACAATACTAACCTAAATGATAGAGTGAAAATAAGGAAGCCTGTACAGAATATAAATATTTTTTGTAAAACTGCAAAAAATGTGGCAAAGAAATTAACTTTAGGTCCTAAACACAAAGTGTTATGTTTGGGGCAAATTGCTTACCAAGACGACATTGAATGTTCCTGAGTGGCCTAGTTACAGTTTTGACTTAAATCAGCTTGAAAATCTAAGGCTAGACATGAAAATGGCTGTCTAGCAATGTTCAACAACCAACTTGACAGAGCTTGAAAATTTTTAAAAAGAATAATGGGCTAATATTGTGCAATCCAGGTGTGCAAAGCTCTTAGAGACTTACCCAGAAAGACTCACAGCTGTAATCGCTGCCAAAGGTGATTCTAACATGTATATTCAGGGGTGTGAATACTTATGTAAATGAGATATTTCTGTATTTCATTTTCAATAGATTTGCAAAACTTTCTAAAAACATGTTTTCACTTTGTCATTATGGGGTATTTTGTGTAGATGGGTGAGATCAATTTAATCAATTTTGAATTTGGGCTGTAACATGACAAAATGTGAAAGAAGTCTGAAGGCACTGTAGGTTTCCAAAACACCAAAATATGCTCAGTTGTGATGACATTCATACAATGTTTACAAGTTAGGTTGCACAGGACATTCCCTTAATGTTGTAAGAATGTTGACAGAACACCTGTTCTAAGTTCTTTAAAGTTTCCCAGAACATTTAATTAAGTTATGGGAGTTGTCTGGGATGTTGCAAGAATATTCTTGTGATATTCACGAAGGTTGTCAAGAACATTTAGAAAATGTTATATTTAAGTTTTACCTAATATTACCACAACATTTTCAGCATCCAAATGTGTAGATCCTTAAAGTAAATTGGAATACGTACCCATTATGTTTCTCTCCATATTTAAATGCAATTCACATTTGAGGACTACATTGTAGGCGCACTAAAAGGTGATATAGACACACAGCATTTTAATTTATTTAAATGTCAGTCACCAGTGCTGGCCATAACCCTGTATAGGCCACCAAAGCACTGCCCCACTTTCTTTACTGATCTATCTGAACTATTGTCTATTGTCCTTGAGAACTATGATAAAATCATTGTGTTGGGCGATTTCAATATTCATGTTGACAAAGAGACTGACTCCAAGGCCACTGAATGTATTAATCTTTTGAGCTCTATGGACTATATCCAACATGTTACTGGGTCCACCCATAACCGCGGCCATACTCTGGACCTGGTTATTACCAAGGGGCTTTCTATTGACTTATCCTCTATTGTTGATGTTGCTTTATCTGATCACCACTGTGTATTTTTTACTACCTTGTTGCCCATAGCACCAGGTAATACTGAACACATTATTAAGAAACGCTATCTTACCTCTGAAGTTGCTACAGATTTTATTGAGTGTATGAACAATACTCCACCACGTATTCTGCATTCCTCTTGTGATGATTTAGTTGATAACTTTAATAGCAAATTAAGGGCAACCATTGATGCCATAGCTGCAGCAAATTTTTGAAAGGCCACATCCAAACGGAGAGCCCCTTGGATGAGTGAGGAAACTAATTAATTAAAGAGAAATTGCTGAAAGGCAGAGCGGAAGAGGAAAAACTCAAATTTGCAGGTCTATTATGATATTCTGAGAGAGCAACTTGGCATATGTAACAAGGCAATTAGAAATGCCAGACGGGCACATTTTTCTAACTTGATCACTATTAATCAGAATAATCCGAGAGTGCTCTTCTCGGCCATTGATGGCCTGATAAATCCTACCCCCGCAAACCTATGTGAACTTTCCTCCACATCTAAATGTGATGAGTTTGCGGCATATTACAGAGATAAGATAACCAACATTAGGCTGGGTATCAGTCAAGCAAGACCTGATCAGAAGTTTGATGATATGTGCCCTATCCTACCACCCAAAGGCACTATGGATTTATTTTCCCTGGTTGACACAGACATGCTCAGAAAAGTGGTATCACAACTTAAGCCTTCTACCTGCCTTCTCGATCATATCCCCACCACCTTCTTCAAAACAGTTTTTAATTGCATATCGGAAGAAGTGCAAGCTATTGTTAATCACTCCATGTTCACAGGCACTTTCCCCACTGCACTAAAAACTGCTATGGTGAAACCCCTTCTGAAGAAAAGTGATCTAGATTTTTCAGCTCTTAGCAATTTTCGGCCAATCTCCAACCTTTCATTCTTAAGCAAAATTCTGTAGAGATTGGTGTTCAAACAGCTAAATGATTTTTTTTAAGTGGCAACTGTATTTTTGAAAAATTCCAATCTGGTTTTCGTGCCCACCATAGCACTGAGACAGCCTTAGTTAAAGTGGTAAATTATCTTAGAGGTAACACAGATGCCAAACAGCTCTCTGTCCTTTTACTCTTAGATTTAAGTGCTGCATTCAACACTGTTGACCGTGATATCCTTCTGGACAGACTGGAGAGGTGGGTTGGCCTCTCCAGTTCAGTTCTAAATTGTTTTAGGACCTATTTAACCGGTCGGGAGTTGGTGAACATAACTCAGAGAAAATACATATCAAATGTGGCGTTCCACAAGGTTCGATTTTGGGTCTGGTACTGTTCAGTTTATATATGTTACCCCTTGGCAGCGTTATCAGAAAGCACAGCATTGCTTTTCACTGCTACGCAGACAATACACAACTTTACATGTCACCAGAGGATTTTAGCTCCACAGATCAATTATTAGCCTGTATTAGTGATTTAAATACTTGCATGGCTCACAACTTCCTCCAGCTAAATCAAGGCAAGACCGAGGTAGTTATTGTTTGAGCCAAAGCACAGAGAGCGAATAAAGACGCACATTTTAATTCACGGGCAATAAAGATGAAACACCAAGTAAAAAGCTAGATGTTATTTTAGATTCTGAACTAAATTTTGAATCACACATTAGGAATGTGACCAAAATAGCTTTTTACCACCTGAGGAACATTACTAAGGTGTGGCTGTTTCTCAATCAGGCTGATACAGAGAGAATAATCCATGCTTTTATTACAAGCAGGCTTGACTACTGTAATGCTCTCCTGTCTGGTCTACCCAAGAAAGCCATTGGTCAACTGCAAAACATACAGAGTGCTGCAGCATGGGTACTGACCAAGACTAGACAGAGAGCACATATTACACCGGTTTTAGAATACATTTTAAGATTCTTCTATTGGTTTTTAAATCAATCCACGATTGTGCACCCCAATACATGTCAGACATGCTTTTAAGTTATGTACCCTGTAGGTCCCTCAGGTCCTCTGGCACTGGCCTTTTAACTATCCCAAAGCCTAAGACCAAGAGGCATGGAGAGGCAGCCTTTAGTTATTATGGCCCCAGCCTCTGGAATAGCCTGCCAGAGAACCTGAGGGGGACTGAAACTCTGGACATATTTAGAAGATATCTTAAAACACATCTTTTTAGCTTTGCTTTTCCTCAGGTTGCTTTTTAGTTATTCAGTTTATGTAATTATTTTGTTTTTTATCTTATGTTTGTTGTGTAGTAAATATTTCAGCTTTTATTTTCACCGTTTTTTTATTCGTTTTTTCCTGTAAAGCACATTGCGTTGCATTCCATGTCTGAAATGTGCTGTATAAATAAAGCTTGATTTGATTTGATTAAAGAATATGTGGGATTGAACAATCTCCGGATATGCAGCCAGATCATTAACCCTCTGCGCCACCAGGGCATAGCTGTGGCCTTGTGTTGTTGTTTTCTTTCAGTCTCATATGATCAATCAGGGTACAGAACACAATTTATGATTTTTCTCTTTGCTATTGCTTTTTTTGGGACCATTTTAATTTAAAACAATCACAGTAAGGTGCTTTATTGTTACCCAGAAATGATTCGATTTTGAGATAAAAACGGCTGCATTGGACCTTTAAATCAATAAAGTAATATTGCATTGAACCTGAAAACGTTTTTGTATATTTATTATGTATCATAATTTTTCAGAATGGTATTGCATGCATTTGTATGTGTTTTTATTTCTTATTTAGTTTAAAGGTGAAGGATCGTCCGCACAACTGGACAGTTTTCGGGTTTTAGGAACATATATTTTGTGATGTCCCCACAATGTTCCTACCAGACTGTTCCCACAACCTAATGAAACATTCTGTGAACTTTTAAAGAACAGATGAACTGTGTTCTAGGAACATTCTTGCAACATCAGGCGAATGTTTTATACAAATATAATCATCTCATAACACAGTTTTTGTGTTATGAGAACATTTGCTGCAACCTAACGAATGTTCTGGGAACTTTCACAGAACCAATTTTGGTTTGCTGGTATTGCTCTACAACCTTACAGGGGTGAGAGAGGAATGGGAGAGAGGGAGAGAGAGAGAGAGAGAGAGAGAGAGAGAGAGAGGAATAAAAAATTAAGGGAACACGTGAACTCACGTCTGTGTTACACGATCTGTAACGCTTCCTCTCTCCGAGACAGTACTTCCCTCCTCCAGAAGGCCTGAAAGAGAGAAGAGGAATAAAAGAGATTGATGAGGCAGTTTACACTCTGTCAGTCAGTGCAGCCCTCCACCCTGTGCTGCAGTACAGTAGAGGGGCGAATCACAGTCAGAATACACACACACACTGTCTTCCCCAGGTAGTGTATAGGGTGTGAGATAATATATATACATATGCCATTTATCAGACACTTTTATCTAAAGCAACTTACAGTCATGCGTGCACACATTATACATATGGGTAGTCCCGGGAATCGAGCCCACTACCCTGCTCTACCAACTGATCTACAAAGGACCACAATGTAGGTCCTTTGTAGGTAACATAGCAACAGGGTGCTCAGTCTTACAGTTACCTTCCCCTGAGCTAGGAATCTCCATGCATGTGTATGAGTGTGATTGTTGTCCTTAGGTCACTCTATCCAGTCTGTTCTTACAGCTGTAGAGAGCAGCTTGACATTTGGAGTCACAACAGACTGCAGTCTATTAGAGCTAAATGACTAGCACCAGCACGGCTCCTCACTGATTTGTTACAGTACACGAGTTGGCCTGCTATCATCATCACAGTTGGGTAGTCTTGCTCTCTCCATCTGACTCTACCTACCTACGAGAGCAGCCAGCCAGTGTAATTAATGTTTTCCAGCCGAATGTTGGCTACACTGTCTGGTTTCTGTGTTGAACCTCCTTGCTACAGTACCGTGTGTGTGTTACAGTACCCAGGGACTGTGGGGCTCCGATCACCTTACACAGGTGTTCTGCATTACCCTGCCTCCCTCCTTCCTTCTCTCCTTCTTTCCCTCTCTCTCTCCCTTCCTCCCTCTCTCCACTGTCTGAAAAGAGAGTGTGAGGACAGGGGAGGGGTGGGGGGAGCCTAACAGTGGGAGCTCCGTACAGTTTGGATGGAAACAGTGTGTCTATCTGTCAGAGATTAGTGATGATCACGCACGCACGCACGCACCTACACACACACACACACACACACACACACACACACACACACACACACACACACACACACACACACACACACACAAACACACACACACACACACACACACACACACACACACACACACACACACACACACAAACACACACACCACACACACACACACACAAACACACACACACACACACACACACACACACACACACACACACACCTGTAGGTGGAGACCTGGATGTGTGTGTTCATCTTGCTGTGGCTTACTTTGCCTACTTACGCTGGGCTGTCACAATGTCTCACGGAGGAAGAGACTCCCCCTCCGCAGGTCCTGCTGCACTCCCCCCATGACGACCAGGGACCCCAGCCTCCGTCCATACTCTGGGGCCACGTCCCAAATATCACACACTCCCCCTGGTAGCACCACTGAGAGGGGGGGAGAGAGGGTTTAGAGAGAGGGGAAGAGAGAGGATTAATCATTACCCCTGTGCCTGAGTTGGAGCCTGGATAGCACCTGGGGTTTAAAGACAGAGGTTATCTGTAACTGTGTCAGTGGTGCTCAGGGCTTAGAGACAGTACAGGTTGTAGAGGGTTATAGGTCTGTAACTGTGTCAGAAGGTTAAGATGCTGGGCCAAGGCAAGGGTCTGGCAACACCAGGGCACTGTCCTCCTTTTCCCTCAATCCCCACACAAGAGATTAACAACGCATAGAGGAGAGGGGGATAAAAAAAGGAGAGAAGAGAGAGTAGAGAGATAGAAGCGAGAGAGAGAGAGAGAGGAGATATGAGAGAGAGAAGAACTCAGACTCCTCCCTCCTCACCGCCCTCCGCCCTCCCCCACCCTCACTCACTCCCAGCCCTAACTCTGCGCCCTCCGCTCGCTCCTCTCTCTCTCGCAGCCCTCCCTCCCCGTTCCTCCCGCATCTACTCCCTCACGCCCCTCTCGCCACTCGCTCGTCTCTCTCTCCTCTCCCCTCGCTCCCTCTCTTCGCCCCTCCCCCCCCTCGTCCCTCCCGCTCGCGCCGCACGCTCGCCGCCACTCCGCTCCGATCAGCTCTCGCTCGCTCTCCGCTCTCTCGCTCTCGCCTCCCCCTCTCTCTCTCTCCTCCCCTCCTCCGCCACCTCCTCCCTCCACCCGCCCTCCGCCCTCCCTCCCTCCCGCCTCCCTCCCCCCTCCCTCCCTCCCTCCCTCCCGCCCTCCTCCCAAACGCACGACCTCTCGACTCTCTCTCTCGATCTACTCTCTATCCTCGCTTCGCCGCACCCTCTCTTCTCCAGATAATAGAGAGAGAGCAGAGAGAGAAGAGAACATGCACTAGTCACTGTGGTCAACAAGATAAGATCAACAAAGAACGCAGATAGAAGAATAAACGGAAGAGCTAAGGAGAGAGCTAAGAGAGCTTCGGCATAGAATAAGAAAGATGGTAGATAGATAGGTCAGAGAAGGTAATAGAGAGAGAGAGAAGAGAGAGAGAGAGAGAGAGAGAGAGAGAGAGAGAGAGAGAGAGAGAGAGAGAGAGAGAGAGAGTCCTCCTTAAGAACTTGTCTGTGTTCCCAGCAAGTCTAAAATAGCCTGGGAGAGAATGTCTTATCAGAGACGAGCTGACACACACAGACTCTACACTACCTGTCTACTACACCACACACCTATCAGCCTTTCACCACCTGCAAGTGTGTGTGTGTTTGACACAGAAATCTATGTGACCTTTGGGGGACATAACTACTGTACCTTCCTTCTACTTATCTCTCTCCCTTTCTCTTTCTCTACCCCATCCTTCTCTCTATCCCTCTCTACCTTTCTCCAAATCCACCTCACCCCTCCTTCTCCTCCCTGCCCTACCATCTCTCCCTCCCTCCTCCCTCACTTCCCCCTAGTTGGCAGGGCCTCTCCATTACAGGCCTGGTGAGAAATGGCTGACAGTCGTATTCCTTTGAAGCCCCCTCCCCACCCCCATCCCCCTCACCACCCACCCTCACCCCAGACAGGAGCGCACTACCAGCCACCCCTCCACCCCCCCCAAAGCCCTCTGTCCCAAAGCCCTCTGAGCTGATCTCAACCTGTGCCCCCTGTGTAGCCCAGGACCCCGTCAGAGGCCCCCGGGCCTGAAAGGCTCCAGTCAGCGGACGGTAATGTCACACGACAGCCCCTGACACCCTCCCATTCTTCCCTTTGAGACCTCGGACCATCCGGTGACAATGGCCGCCGTAATCCATGTTAAAGCTGTCTCACTGTCAGCCGTCTAACCTGGCCGTGGCGTGGCCAGCCACACTGGGAATAGACTCTGAAGTGATGACCTCAAAGCATGGTGTGTGTGTGTGTGTGGCGGGAAAGGGGGAGGGGGTAATACATTGGGATACAATGGGAGAGGAGAGGAGAGAATGAGCTGGTTACCACACACCTCACAGTAACTAGTCTTGGCTCTGACACTGAGGCTCACTCACTAGTTCCCACTACGGAGGCTTACCTGCCATCACATCAGAGAGAGAGAGAGACTGAGATAGGGCTGTTGGTATAGAGGTGAAGGAGAAAGCTGAGTTGACTACAGGAGAGAGCCAGTGTGTGTAGACTATAGGAGACAACTAGTGTGTGTAGACAATGAGACTGCTAGTATAGACTTACCCCTTTCTCAATGCTGCCAGTCTGACACAGGGTCCCCTCAGCAGCAGGTATACTGTTGGTGACACAGCGGTTGCTTTTGCTAAGGCACCAGAGCTCTCTACACACTTCCTAGGAAAGAAGGCGAAAGCAAGTTGGTCAGAATAAAGCAATTCACTGCAGAGAGTGTATTACAAGTAGAGAAATTGACATAGACAGGGCTGTGGAAGTGCCTTAGAGATCAAAATAAACACATTATGTGACTTCCCCTCCTCATCTCCTGTCCTTCATCTGCACTAAGGTGAAAGCGCTAGACAAATACCTGGCTGTCGGCTCAGCCATATTGCTTTCCCTTACAAGGATAGCAGACCTGGGTCAAATAGAGTTTGCACGGTTTGGGGTCACTTTGGACTGTTTCATAGGTTCCATTTCACCAGGCAAACTAACTCAAGCTCAGCTGAAATATTTGGAAGTATTAGACATATGTATTTGACCCAGGTCTGACAGATTGAGCCCTGTGCTTTGGATTCAGTTCATATTAAGAGCCAATAAGGTCAACCCATGCTACTAATGTCCCTCTGTGTTGAAGGATACAGAGTCATCTGGAGCAATAACAGAATGACTAACGCCTGGTCACGTTTACCTTCCAGACCTCAACAGAGAGCGGCTGACGTCAGTTCACAGTAACCACTGTTAACCAGTTATAGGAAATTACTCTGGCACTCAAAACAAAGAGCAACTCAAACTGCCCCTCAGAGAGGAGAGCGTCTCAGGGAACAGGGATTGTAGACATAACAAAAATGCTTTGTCTTACAGGAAGTTTTAAAACAAACAACTTCTTCTGTTTCTACAATTTACCCATCTTATCTCCTTGCTCTTATAACAGAGGGAGAACTCTTTATTAGAGAGAGGGGGGAGCGAGAGAGAGAGAGAAAGAGAGAGAGAGAGAGAGAGAGAGAGAATCCGAGTCAGAGTCTCTATCTGAAGTAAATACAATTGTAAAAGTGAATGCGTGTAACAAGGACAGCTCTGCACAACCCTGCATTAGATTTCCCATTAAACCTCTATGGTTTCCCCTCTGCCTCTCCTCTTCAAAGGCTTTACTGGACAACTGCGTACGGCAGAGGAGAAGAGGAGCAACATCATGAAGAAGAGTTACGGCCCTGAGCCCAGGTTCTGACCCCACGGGTCAGTAAATAAAGTCCAGGCCCCACTGGTCTCTACTGGTCTCTACTGCTGCTAGACGCTATAGATTAAATAAAGCAGCAAACAGTCACTCTGAGTCTGCCCTGTCTCGCTGCACCACTCCCAGCTGCTTTCAATAAGCCTCCCCTCTGCCCCCCGCTAAACCCTCACTGCCCCTCCCCCCCCACCCCGTCCCATAAAACCTCACCCTCCCTCCTCTCTGGTTTCCCCCCGGCCCGTTCAGAGCCGGCTGAAAGGTCAGAAGGAGAACCAGGTATGGATGGACATGTGGCCCTGACCTGGTCTGGCAGATTTACGCTAGCTAGCTAACAGAGAGGAAGCGGGAGGGTTGGCAAGGGGGTGAAGAGAGCAGGGGTGCAGGGAGACCCGCCAGTCACTTAGACGTCACCTAGCCGTCAAACACTTTGTTTTTCATCCCCTCCTCACCTTGCGATGGCACTGGGGTTCAGGACGAGTAATATTATGAAGGAGTGTTCCGGTCTTTGCAGGGGGTTGCTGTGGGGTTAGTGGCAGTTTAGTTGGTGTTGTAACTCTATGTTGTAAGTGATGTTCTCGTAGTTATTACTAGTATCACTTATCTTGACACTTTGTGTCACCCCCTGTGTAACTGTGAAACTAATGTCTTCACACTTCCCTGTTTCACGCTGAGATCTGTCATCGCCCTTTCAGAACCGAAGGTATTTCCTACCCTTCCTGGTGACTCCAGAAATGACCGCTCAAATACGTAAGTTCTGTGAGTCCAAAAGTATTTTTATATTATTCCACAGGAGCAAACATGTCACCAAACCGCTGCTATTCTGTCCTGTCCTTTCAGTGCGAGCAACAGTCCAACTTTTCCACTGGGCTGTTTATTCCCATTAGAACCCACTACAGCTGTAGGGTAAGAGACTGGTGGAAATAGAGACCAGGTGAGTACCAGGACACAAACATGTCACCACAACCGTTAAGTGTAACAGTGACTGTAAAGTGTTACTGCACCTCTCCACATATCTTTTAGTTGCTCTCTTTATTCTTTAATGGCACTAAAGCAGGCACTGCACTGCTCTGTGTTTTGTACAAGGTAACTGTATCCCAGAGAGGTCACCTTTCATAACATCAACTCTGAAAGCAAACACTATCAAGTCATAGATCCTTTAATTGTTTCTATGGTTACATGGATCCGATCAGCAAGTTCTAAACGAAAGACAAACCTTCACCAGACAGCTGGCTGAGGGAAACAGATCTGACTGTCAGAATCCATAATCCTACTAGTTAAAAGACTACATTCTAGTTCTGAGAACACAGCCCAGCACAGAGCAGCACAGCTGAGGCAGGCTGTGGAGGAATGCTCTCCTTTCATAAATGGCTGTCTTTCATGCTGATCTAAAACCACAATTATGAGCTTAAGAGCCAAAACGACAGGGTTTGATTTGGGGCCCGTAGTAATCTGCTGTCAGATATTTCTTTCAATGAAACAAAATAAACTCTCTTGATCTCGGCTAATGACAGACTCTTTTTTTTGTCCATATTGGTTCATTAATTCTTTGTGGCTTTCATTCAACATCTCCTGTTTCTGTGGCTTGGTTTAGTTCTCTCTCTGCTCGTGTCTCTTTATTTACCTTGGGTTTTTATTCTTCATGGTGGTGGTAGGGGGTAATCATTTGACTTCGTGAAACTATGATGTGTGTGTGTGTGTGTGTGTGTGTGTGTGTGTGTGTGTGTGTGTGTGTGTGTGTGTGTGTGTGTGTGTGTGTGTGTAAACCTCCCTCCCTCTTCCCTCTCTTTGAGATAGGTTAGTGAGATATGCGGCACACCCATCCCAGGTGCTAAGAAAACAATTATGTCTCCTTAGGATGATAAGAAGATAACACCCCTGATTAACACCCTTTGATATACAGGAGGAAATGTCAGCTTGGCACAACATATTTTCTCTTCTCCTGTTACCTGATCACTATCAGAGCCCCTGCTTCACTAGCATTATCACTAATGTTAGATGCAGGATCAACAGTTGTAAATGATTCCATTAACAAAGCATTGTCCTCCACTGTAGAGGAGAGAGAGTGTATGCATATTGTAGAGCTGGAGAGATGCAGGTTTCTTACCCCATATTTGCACTGTCGTGAGGAGGCTCCATACTGGAAGCGACACTGCTCATCTGCGTCGTACACCTGCCCCGGGGCCACTGTTGGGTACAGGAAGTCTCGTTTCAGAGGTTCATTGTCCAGACACGTCCCCCGACCTGAGCTGTCAAAAAAACAAACCTACAATAGGATTGTTTCTTACACACCACACCTACAGAGCCTATTGTGCAGGTTCCCAAAGGTGTCCTCCAGTATTAATGGACTAATCAAGGGCTTGATGATTAGTTGAATAGTTGAATCAGATGCGCTAGTATTGGAATATATCAAATAAGTGGAACGGCTCAGGATACTCAAGGAGAGGTTTGGGAAACACGGGTTAAGTATAGAGGGTAGCTACTAGCTACTGGTGTACACAATGCAGCCCTCCAGGATAGAAAATCAATGGTTTAGCAACATCAAATAAATTGTTTCATTTAGAGGGCATCTCTCAACCTATATTGTACACAACAGCTTAAATGGTGATATTCTTTCACAATAATGACTTAAATAGAGTTTATGACAACCCTAGTCACACTGTCTACTAACACGTGTCACATTGCCTTGTATGTTTTCAGTAGCCTCTAACCCTATAGATGGAGTGGAGAGGAAGAAGAGGTGAAAAAAAAACGTAAATACGAGGAAAAACACAACAAAGAGAAGAGAGAATGAAAACCCAAACTACGAGCAGTCAATGGTGTCTGTCTGTCTGTCTGAAACTCACTGCTCTCTGCTTATTTGGCGCTGTGACTGCACCGTACGTATGGAATCCACAGAGAAGCCAATAAAATGACAGAAGGAGAGAAAGAGAGAAAAAAACTATTGAGTGGGCCGTAGGTCACCAGTCCTGAGCTGGAACTCTGTTTAGTCTGTTTTGTCATCATAGAAATATGTCCGCTGCACAAAGAACTCACTCTGAAAACACACACACACAAAAAGACTGCAATTTTGTATTCTGTTTTAGCAACTTTTCTACTCTGCCCAAGAAAATATAAATACTAAAAGTGTGGCCAAGAAAGCAGGCAGGACAGAGCAGCTTTTGTTGGGTTGGTTGTGTGTGTTTATTCTGGGTTGGGAAGTGTAGCTTGTTTTAGACATGGTGGTGTTGCTGAACGGATGCTTCTCTGTTCTCTCCCGTCTCCCTGTCCGCTCTGAGGGCAGACGACTGGCTCATACTGAAGACTAGTACTATACTCCTATTAATTTTACTACTACTGGTACGGTTACTATTATTACTACTACTATTGCTATGTCTTATACTATGTGTGAACTAACGTACTCTGTGTGTTTTCCAGCAGCGGTGTGCTGCGGAATGCTTCTCATCCCTTAAAAGAATAAGATGGCTTGCTTAGTCACAATTGATGATTTTGTAGACAGACCCAGGCTCAGAGAAAGAGAGAGAGGGAGGGGAGAGAGAGAGAGAGAGAGAGGGGGGGGGGGAGCTAGTGGAGGAGAGAGAGGAAGGACAGAGAGAACAGAATGAAACAGAAGGGGAGAGAGAGCGCATCCCTATATATGAACTAGAGGGCTGTGTCATGGCAGTCTCCTTCTCCATCTTTATCAGATGTTGGGACTGTCTGATCCGATTAAGCATTTTAACTACAACTTTGCTCATCAGTAGGAGCTACAATGAAGTGGGCTATCAAATGATTTTAAAAAAACAACACCACAATCAAAGTAAAATAATCTCCTCTGTACTTTGCAGATTGGCCAGAGGCAGCCAGGGTTGTGTGGAAGCAGCCAGGAACCTCTGGCCCCCCACCAGCCTATCAGACAGCACTCAACTCAGCTAAAGCATGTCCACTGACCGGAGAGGAGAGAAGAACACTGGCCTGGGGGGGGTCACCAAGGTAGTATTACATTTCTCCTCTTCAATTTACCCTTTTACTGTCTCTCTCTTTCTCCCTCTCTCTCTCTTTTTTCTCTGTAGTGGAATAATCATTTTCCTTGGCGTGGAGAGGTCCGTCTCACCAGAGCTCCCCTAGCCTACCCTCCCGGCCCACTACACCGACCCACACCGCGGCAAGCCTGGTCTGGGGCAGACCCCACTGTTTATTGGTTCGGGGAGAGATCAAATAGTCTGATGTTTCAATATAGAAAGTATTATTTCACTGAGTCGAAGCAGCTTCCTGTCCTCTGGGATAAGCCAAGTTCATTACACTGTCAGAGAGGAAATCTCTTCTAATAAGAAGAGGAAGCATCACCGGATCCTAAACTCCCACCTTGGTCAGCCATGTTAAGACTAGATATTAACAAGATTAAATAAAAATAAAAATAGTATGATTTTAAGACTAGGGCCAGGATTCAATCCGATCACCCCTTTTCGGCTATGTACCTTTCAAAGACAATGTTCCTGCATTCGCGGAGACTGCATTCCCACTAAACGCTGCATATGTCGGCTCAATCGGAAATTACTAACATGGATCTTCCGCGGTCCGGATTGAATCTAGGCCTAGATATTGCTTCAATAGAAAAGCGCACAATTATTGGCCAGTGGCCACATTGGAGTGAACTCCATGTCGTATATCTATTTTGAATATAACTAGGCTAAAAGTTACAAAACTATTGATTTATGGCATTCTGGCAAGAGAACCATGCAGAGTAAACTGTGTCTGAACTATGTCTGCATTCATAAACCATTCTTTAGAACCCAAACGACCAGCCACATATTGCACCAGCAACCCAGTGTATCTAGGCCAAGACCACAGCCAATGTTGTTTACTTGGCAAGAAGAAACGCGTGACATATCCAAAAATCTGTTGGAGGGAGAGAACCCGGGGAGGGTAAGTCTAGTTTACAGACAAAACTTCATAAGAGAAAGCAAGACATCAAAAATAAAAAAGCGGAATTGAAAAGACACAAAGATGAATTCAGCGAAAGCTTAAAATTCACCTACAACAGACTTTCAGATGAGAAAAAGCAGTCACACAAATGTGAGCAAAATATTCAGCCTCTCTGCCCTTGGTCTGAAATAGTACTAGACTCCCAGATGATCCAATCACAAGAAAAGAAGGCCAAAGTGAGAATGTCCAGAAACCGTAAAGAGGCATCTCTGTGTGTTACTGTGAGAAGTTGGCACATGGTACTGTAATGTCTATGTCTATGTGCCAATGCTACTTGGTGTTGCTAGCTAATGTCTTTCCTCCTCGTCTCTCCCAGCTCTGAAGGCTTTCACCAGAGAACAGACTCTGACAACCAGAACCACCATTATCCCAACACACGCACACACACACTGAAAACCATTCATTGGGTTTAGAAGTTGAGGACCTTCAAGGCCAAGCTACTTTGTTTTCTATGGACGCTGTCTGACTGGAAGATTTATTTAATACTTCTAAACCCAGACTCTATCTGTTATCATCTGACGGTCCTGAGGGGCACTATTTGAAATAAATGAAGAATATCCTTCTTTACAAAGGCAAGAAAATAAATCTATTTATTATTCAAAGCACGGAGAGACAGAAGATTCTGAAGAGGAGGAGTGCAGAATTTCTGTTTCTGTCCCAAAACCCAGACTCAATGTTTGGATGGCTGGAAGGCTATCCATGTCTTTTACCTACTGAGGAAGTTTATGATTGGTTCAGGATATGTACTAGAGTTTCAATAGGTGGTTTTAACTGAGAATAAACTGAGATAGGCACACACACACACACTCAGGAATGCGCCCTCTTCCACTTACTCAAGGAAGCTGGTGATGTAGTCCTTACTGCAGGCCGACACCGGAGAAGGGGTTGGGGTGTGAGT